CGGCATTTATACTTCATATGCATACATCTCACTGTTAATACAATAGTGTATTAACTCAAAAAGAGGACTTTCTCAGAATTGATGGAAAACGAATTACTCACTTCCCGCAAAAAACAATCATTAAAATTTATATGTTATAGTTTATTATAGACACTTAAACAAATTCTCAAATATGTTTAAAAATAAAATGGAAAAATTATTTCATGTTTTTGAATAAAGAAAAAGCTCACATAAAGAGTGTCTCATTTTGAGTTAAGTAGATATCTTTTGATTGTTTCTTACAATATTCTAACGACGGTTTTTTGACGTGTAGACAATCAAATTACACGTTCAGTAATGATATAATATTAAATTCACATATTTTGAGTTACAACACTATTGTAATAGCAGTGCGATATTCTTCTTGATATAAATTAAATTTTCATGATTGTGTTGTGAGGCTAGCGTAAAAAATGATCATTTGTTAAAACTTCTTTGTCACAGATACTTTGAGGCCCAGATTGTAACTACGCGCTTACGCGTTAAAATTCTATTAATTACCTTCACAGAAACTTTGTTCCGTATTATAGTTACTCCGTACATTTAGTTTGATTCCACTTAGATCTTCTAATTAGAATAGAGTCGAAAGTCTTACCGTGCTCCGTAACTGTACAAACTTTACCTGCACCTCTAAATTAAGGTGTATTCCACTTAGGCCCGGTATTTATCGAAATATTCCACTAATTTCATGTAGTGGAGAAATAAACAAACACCCTCTCATAACATCGCATTAGGAAGACCCTATTTCTGCCGCCAAGCAGTAATGTTAGCATTACTGCGTTCCGGTTTAGAATGGTAAGGGTGCTGGTGAAATTACAGGCACATGGGACTTGTCAACTTATGTCTCAGGGTGACGGGTGCAGTGGCACTGCCTTCAGATCTCTGAGGGTAGTGCCACTCTGAATCTGAGAATCTGAGGATTTAAAGCTCTGAGTGACACTGCACCTGTTATGGACAGGCGTGTATCTTACTATCAGGCGCACGACTTGTTCGTCCCGTCACTTGATATAAAGGACAACAACCAGAAATTACACCTAAACTCACGAGAGAAATAACTGTAAGGCTGGGATTTCTGCGCAGCCCAGCATGGTGACCGTTCGGCCACGGAGTAATCAAATCAAAAGTCAAGTGATGGGAGAAGGATTGCTTCTTGCTTGAGAGGTTTACGCTTCGAACGCTTGCGGCGATAAGTACCTATGACAATCAATTCCTAAGTTGTATTACCTATAAAAGTTTAGTAGCAATACTTCTCATCAATAGTGAAAGTAAACATAATGATTAAGTTTACATGTTGAAGTCAATAGCTGCTTGTGTGGTGTGATACGGCCTAAACCCTCTCCTCAGAAGGGTCTCGTGCGCAGTAGTGTGATGTACAATGTGTTAACGTGGCAATATTAAAGCTTTCATAATTGTAACTTTATCATTGAAAAAAAAAAAACCGGTCTCAAAAGTTTGCATATCGGCTTTTTCCGATTTCCACGGGATCCCCTCATCACATTCTGACTTTGTACATTTTATACTTTTTTTTGTCGTCATTGTGGCGTTTACGCTACTTAGTATAGGGATAGCTCAATGAAACAACATGTGTTTACTTCACGTACACGTGCGATACGTCCGCTTACACCACTGTCTAGTGTCGTAGTGCGGGAACGGCGCGGCGGGCCGCAGTGTAACTTATATTGTCTAATGTCTATGACACAATTACGTGCATACACTACATCTCTCCCTTTCAATAAAATTAATACAAATTTTAACAATGTGTACTTTCACTTTACTTTTATAATCATTACTAACTGTCACAATCTACTTAATAAACCTAAAGCATTTTACATTGTTCTTCATTGTGTCCGAATTTACCACCTTGACCTTACTCGTCATTATGAATCTGCTATTGCCTCTCTACTTTCTTTTGTCCTTCTTAATTCTTGACTTGTCTAGCCATTTCCCACTTGCATATTTCTTCTTTTGCATATATAATTGCATATGGGGTGCTATTATACATCATAAGGTAGTTAATACAGAAGATCGTTCTTCCAGGCGGAGTTTTGGCATGTACTTATTTTAAAACGTTTAATTTGTCGCGGTTTTGTTTTACGATCTCGCCGTTCGGTTGTGGCAAGTATGGTATTGAATTGTAAGTCTAATGCCAAATTCCGAGTGGAAAGATTTTAATTAGTAATGTTCGATTACGTGCCAAGTTTGGAGAAATGTAGAACCTTTACGATTTCCTGGAATAATTACGGATATCCTAATGCGACTGTAACAGTCAATTACGAGAAATATTATATAAACCTGGAAAATCAATAATTTATTAATTCACAGTTGCGTTGGCAATTTGCGTCTTTTCATAGGCACAGTAATTTCCGTTACTTATAAAATATTACAATTTTCACCTTATGGGGCACTCAGGGTGTTTTCACTCCTTCATATTTGTTATTGTATTCGACTAATATTTACAGGCACTATTTGTTGTCGTGTAGTCGGATTTATCAATATCATCCGTATTTGTTGAAAACATATTTTCTTTTAGATGTTGCTGATTGTACTTTATAATTTCCAACATCACTACTTAATGATAATTACCATATTAATGCAAACAACGCTGGGAATGTTGTTATGAATCAGTTTTTTTGAAAGGACAGAATAAACCAGTTCAATGAGTAGGTATGTAGTATTTTAATATAGTGACAAAGTCAAAGTCAAAGTCAAAGATTATTTATTCCATAGGTAAAATAAATTTACACTTGAAAACGTCACATTTAAGCTACTGCTCGTTCACTACGCTGACCTCCCTGAGAAGAACGAGCAAGAAACTCTAGGAACCGCTCTTTTCAAATAAACTTAAATGCTACATACACTTTGAATCAAATTTGTGTGGATTCTGGAGCCATGTCGTCTTTCCATACATCTTTATCTAACACGTAGTCTTCAATTTTGTAATATGATTTTTCGATCAAAATATTTTTAATGTAGTTTTTAAACTTAGGAAATGATAAACTTAATATATGCTCCGGAATCTTATTGTAAAAACGTATACAGTTCCCCATAAAAGAGTTGTTTACCTTGGTTAAACGAAATCGTGGTACCATGAGTTTGGATTTAGCTCTAAGGGTAACATTATGGATAATATCTTCTTTCTTTATAGATTTTAAGACTTTCGTGGTTATTCACTAAATGATGACCATGGAGCGTGCAACCGTTCCGAAATATCGGGAAAATAAAAAGAAGTCATACCGTGGTAAGAAATCTTCTTTCTTATTGAAATTATGTATATTTTTACGGGCATATAAAATATTTGAGTAAATGTACTGTGATGCCACAGTCATGATACCAGTCTCCTTAAACTTTTCTCTGAGAGAAACCCGAGAACCTAGACGGTACACAGAACGAATCGCTCGTTTTTGCAATACAAATATGGTTTGAATATCTGCCGCTTTACCCCACATGAGAATCCCGTAGGACATTATACTATGCAAGTAACTAAAGTAAACTAGTCTAGCAGTACTAACATCGGTAAGCTCACGTATTCTGCGGACTGCGTATGCAGCGGAGCTTAATCTACTGGCCAGGGAAGATATATATATATGGATACCATTGAAGTTTACAATCTAAGGTCACTCCCAAGAAGACTGCTTTATTAACAAAGTCTAACTTTTCTCCGTTTATTTCTATGCTTGGACTAGTCGATTTTACGTTAGGTAATTCAAATTTAACACATTTCGTCTTCTTGGCATTAAGCAATAAATTGCGACTGAACTGTCGCGCGACCAAGTTACCTGTTGACTTAATAAATCTTTATAAAAGTTTTAATTATATATATAACGCTGGAAGTAATTATTAAACGTTCAGTGCCTTGCAAATGTCTAGTACAAGTGTTATTGAAGTGAAATTCCCGTATTTTCGACTACTTTCCAAAAAAAATTGTGACTTACAAGGAACAAAAACTCTTCACAAGTGACTTGCTATACAGTTTGCTAGTGCAGAAATAAATATTGCTGTGCCTTTAAGTAATGTATTTTAAACAATATGTGTACTAAATAAACCATTTAGTATTTTGATATGGAGAATTTAATAATTTCATTGTAAATTGACGGTAACATGTTTACAAAGTGACTTCAAATTTGTGGTGTTAATGATCGATTGATCTGTTAACGATCGTCCCCAAGGTGACTACTTTCAACGATTCATGAATGTTCTGAGTTAACTACTAATTTCGGCACAAGTGTACGACTAACGCGTGGACTAGCGGCTTAGTATGGTTACTGCGGTGACAGTGGACTAGAGTTCAAATCCCACATACTTTAAGACGACTTGTGACTTTTTTTTTAATTTTTTTATTATTATATTCTTTATTAATTGTTTTGTGTTTTTATTATTAATTTTTGTGTTGTTACCCGGAAGTAGCGAAAAAATTGTTCAATTGAAAAATTGTTTCCTTTTATTTATATTGTCATTTGCTTTTTTAACACTTAACTAGTTCTTGTGGGGAGTGGGATGCGTATTTGTCATCACCTGCGATAAGATAGGATAGGAAAACGCCTATTTGTTTAATATTAGCAATTAAGTATTTTATTTTTAAATTGACTCCCATTTATTCTAATATGGCCGAAAGATGTAATTTTATACACATATTTAATACTTTACCAGAGTGACATTTATTTTTAAATTATTGTATAATATTTATTAAGCTAATATTCTTTTTACTATAGTCATTTAATTGAATTGAAGTTTGAACTGATTTTTATTGTTCCATTATTTTTATAATTTTAATTAATATTAGTTATCCCATCAATTCATAACACTTTTTTTTTTACTGCTTTTCTAATGGTTGGTAATGATTGTATTACATTGATTTCTTTTTTGCTTTTGTTAATTTTATGCATTTATTGATATTATTATTTTTATTATTACAATAATTGAAGACATGTAACATTGACTTACAATTATATGTAAGGATCAACATGAGCAGCCCCTGTAAAATTAGGTGTCCTTATTGCCCGGGATCGCCCAAGTTGTACGTACAATCAAGGGGTCTTAGTGTGCATATTAGTCGAGCGCATAGGGATGTAGCCCATCGCAGAGTCGATAACTCGTCGGTTCCAGGTACTGGCTCTGGGGCGCGGACGGTCACTCACGGGGCGAGGAATCTTGCGGCTGGCAGGTTGTGTTATTTGATAGATGAGTGCCTGCGATCGAATGGTGTGGATGACTGGTTCAACTTATTATCTTTCCCTTTTTCGGCCTTGAGGGTTCCAGGTGATGAGGGGCGCAAATCATTAACCTCCAAAGTAAAGAATAATGTACTTAACGAAATTTTAAATTTTCCGGGTACTCAGTCAACACATAAACCGCATTCGACCTACCGTACCATAGAGGCTAAGGTGTATGACGGTGATTTGAGAGGGGCCGTCCGCTTACTGTTGTCGGACTCGTCGTTGGCTCCAGCGAATGATAATACCTTGAGAGCATTAGAAGACAAACATCCGTCTCCTTCTAGGCCCCTGAATTTTCCACCGGAATCAAGCCTCACGAGTCCCTCCTTATCTGTTACACCTACAGACGTGGCTATGGCTTTGGGGTCGTTTTACAATGGTTCAGCTGCTGGTCTTGATGGCTTGCGCCCTCAACATCTCAAAGAGCTTACATCACCTTCTGCGGTAGACAACGGTCCACGTTTACTAAAGTTGCTCTCCGATTTGTGCAATTTCCTTTTACGGGGTATGCTGAATTTGGAAGTGGCTCCTTACTTGTACGGTGCATCTCTTTGCGCCCTTTCGAAAAAGGATGATGGTATTAGGCCAATTGCCGTGGGTGGTATGTATCGCCGCCTAGTGGCAAAGCTTTGCTGTAGGTCAGTTAGAGACATAATGTCGACCCACCTTCAGCCGAGACAGGTGGGATTCGGGACGCCACTGGGCTGCGAGGCGGCGATACACGCCACCCGCTCTTTTGCGATGGGCCATGAGGGTACAGATACAGTGGTCGTCAAAATAGATATTAGGAACGCTTTTAACAGTGTGGAGAGAGATATTATTTTGTCGGAAATTTTGGAAAATGTGCCATCCCTGTACCCCTTTGTCTACCAGTGTTACTCGGTCCCCAGTAATCTTTTCTACGGTGAAAATTCCATCTTATCGCAAGTGGGTGCTCAACAGGACGATCCTCTGGGGCCTTTATTGTTCTGTTTGGCTATCCAGAAAATCATATCATCATTGGACTCACCATTGAATGTCTGGTACCTAGATGATGGCACTATTGGCGGAAGTCCAGAAGTGGTTTTGCAAGATTTAAAGAGACTCGGAGTAGCTTTGAAAGCTGTTGGTCTAGAAATAAATCCAAATAAGTGCGAGTTATTTAATTGTGGATTTATTAACGCGGACGTACTAGAAAATTTGATGGTTCTTTTGCCGGGCATCAAGCAGCTGGATAGGTCGTCTGTCAGCCTATTGGGTGCGCCAATATTTCCTGAGGGTGTCAGTTCTGCTCTTCAAACAAAAAGACTGGCACTTTTAGCTGCACGGGAACATTTGTCGCATCTGTCGGCTCATGTGGCGCTCGTCTTGTTGCGGAATTGTTTAGGGATGCCCCGAATGACTTATATATTGAGGACATCTCCCACGTGGCTTTTTGAGCGAGACGTGGCCCTTGTAGATGATGTACTCAGAGTTACGCTGGAGATAGTGCTAAACGTAAGTCTTACTCTACCACAGTGGTGTCAAGCTGCACTTCCCATTAGGCATGGTGGACTTGGAGTGCGTCGAGTGCAAGAGGTGGGGTTTGTGGCGTTTCTGGCTTCGTCTTATGGCTCTGCGGATCTCGTTGCTCGCATTTTAGCTCAAAATGGCAGCGGTATTCGCATACCATTCCAAGCAGAAGCTCTTACCTGGTGGTCAAGTCTTTGCCCAAGCGACGAGCACCCGGATAATCCTAGTTTGCAGAGAAATTGGGACGACGTTCTATGCAAACGAAGGTACAGTTCCTTGTTGGAGGGTGCTTCGGGTGCCGATGTGGCCCGTCTGAGAGCGGTCGCTAAATCAGAATCGGGAGCGTGGTTATATGCTTTGCCATCTCCCCAGTTGGGTACTTTGCTCGACAACACATCTTTAAGGATAGCAGTAGCTCTGAGATTGGGAAGCAAGGTTTGTGAACCACACCGCTGTGTGTGTGGGGCTATGGTGAGGGAGGACGGACACCACGGTTTGAGCTCCCAAAGGTGTGCGGGTCGTTTTCCCAGACACCATGCCATTAATGACATTGTGCGACGGGCGATGGTGTCGGCTAATGTCCCTTGCGTGCTCGAGCCCCCGGGCCTGAGTCGAATAGACGGTAAAAGGCCGGTCGGTTTGACATTGGTTCCTTGGCGGAAAGGTGTTGTCTTCTGTGGGACGCAACATGCGTAAGTACTTTTGCTGCGTCCCACATAAGACAAACTTCGCAGATGGCGGGTTCCGCGGCGGAAAGTGCCGCGAAACTAAAACACGCGAAATATTCTGCCTTGGAGCCTGTGTACGACTTTGTACCGGTCGCGGTCGAGACGGCGGGGCCTTGGGGTTCGGAAGCTCGGGACCTATTTAAAGAGTTGGGTCGCCGACTCAGAGACAGGGGCTGCGATCACCGCTCTGGGTCGTGGTTGGTTCAGCAGGTGTCCATTGCTGTCCAGCGAGGCAATGCTGCCAGTATAATGGGAACTTTTGCCCCGGGCACGATACAGGGCGGGACTTCTTTTTAAATTAAGTATATTTAACGTGAATCTCACTTTTTTTTGTATTAGATTACCTATTGACGAAGCCTTGTGCTGATCTTTAGGTTATACATTTTATTATTGTTCATAAATGCATTTTGTAAATTTTGGAATAAATGAATTTGAGCTCAAAGCAATAAATAGACAAAAATGAATGTGAACAAAATGTGAGCTGCTGCTTACACAAAAATGCGATTTGCAGGCCATGTCTAATTGGCAAAGAAAGGATATGCACTGCTGAATTAATAACGTAAAGTTGGTCAAACTTTATTTGCTTTTATTTATTTTTTGTTACATATTTTTAACATGAAGTTTGTTTAAATTGCAAGCGACAAATCTAATCTGGTTATCAATTTCCCTGTAAAGTCACTCACATATTACGTATAGTCGTAGGTGAACATCGTAATTTGTAGTTCATACGTAATTTTGCAATGTAAGTTAGCAATTTCAATAAAGGCAATACAAATTACACAACAACGAGAATATTTATTCTTTGTAAGTATTAGCAGGCACTTGTATTTTTGGCTAGTTTAGTAGCCAACGGTATCAGTTTGTTTATATCATTTCTCGAGCTAATAGAATACGACACGGGTGTAGTAACCACGGTATGCGGATAATATGTTATTTAATGGACTTAAATAATTTCATCTCATGCATGGCACATACTTCCAATATGCAGATATTATGTTTATATGCTTTAGTGAAATGGATTCTAATGATTTGAAATCGTGATACAAACCTCCGTTTCTTTCTTTTTTTTTAACAAAATTGAGTCGAAGCTGATAGCCTCGACGACATTTCGAAATATTATTAATTCTACTCACGTTCTTTATCTTCGTCGCCATTTGAGGCGTTTACCCTACTTAGTATAGGGATAGCTCAATGAAACAACCGCTCCGCTCACACCACTGTCTAGTGTCGTAGTGCGGGAACGGCGGGCCGCAGAGTAACTTATATTGTCTAATGTCTATGGCACAATTATGTGCATACACTACAGTCATGGTGATGGTGGTTTTTTGATTACTTGTATTGTGTCAAGTGAAAAGTCGACTTTTAATTGCGGAATATATTTAATAACAGCATCAGAGGCCACCTCTAGAGTATATCCTTAAAAAAAAAATATTTTCGAAATCAGTCTGCAATTGATGGGGAAATCGGTAAGTACACTGATATGCCCATAAAATTTGAGGATTTTCTTCGATTCCCATGGATCCCCTCATCAGATTCTGATTTGGTGACAATGGGACCACCACGAGAGTGCACCCTTTCAAACAGAAAAAGAATTTTCTAAAATCCGTCCACAATTAACTGCCTCCGTGGCCGAACGGTTACAATGCCGGACTGCCACGCAGAGGTCCCAGGTTCGATTTCCGGGAGAAATGTTTGTATGGCTTACATTTATTTCTCTCGTGAGTTTGGGTGTAATTTGTGGTTGTCTATGTGTGTGTCCATGGTACCCGCGACACAGGGCTTCCCTAGTGCGGGGCTATGTTGAGTGTGTGCGTTATTTAAATTAAAAAAAAAAAACAATTGACGGAGAAATCGGGAAACATACAGAAAACAAACATACAGCCGAACGTATAATTTCCTCCTTTTTTAAGTCGGTTAAAAATGAAATATTGGAAATGAAACTATTTTTCCGGATTTAAATCGCGTATATTTGTTTTTTCTGACTGACAACCGTGACCATTGGACCTGTAAAGGGCCCGAAACGTCGGTTTGTTTGAAAAAACAAATATACGCGATTTAAATCCGGTAAAATAGTTTCATTTCCTATGTGTAACAATCTTTGGCTTTTGTACTGCTGAAACACATTTGTCAAATAAGTTTGAGGATGCTGTTGAAACTTTGTTCATTGAATAAAATAAAATAAGTAACCTTTTTTTCTTGTTATATGTAATGCTGCGATGTAATGTGCTGAGTAAATGCTTTGTCTGTCTGTCTATTTATAAAATACTCTCTGCGTCGACAACCTATTTATTGTTCTACGGGAGTGTCCTTTAATTTTGATTGGCACAATAGTTCTGTGTAGAAACCTTTGTGGAAACTGTAGACACGTCGTATGTCAGAGCATTCGAGAGCCACTAAACGGTTAAACATCAGCCAATACTAAACCTTCGTGCCCTTTAGGGTGGAAATCCTGTGACCCTGAAAGCCACAGGCAAAACGTTCCCTAAAGTGCTTCCAATTCATTTATTAAGTACTATCTCATCAAATATGCTAAAGCAATTATATATTCAACATACGGTAATAGATCTGATATATATGACAATTACGGTGTACATAGCATGTTCTATAAAAGGGTTAATAATCTCAGTGCAGAGTATTAAAAAAACCGACCTCAAAAGTAGGTGGAATTACATCTATTTGCCAAGATTTATTGAAATATGGGGATGTTTAGTTCGCCTCTATACAGGACTTGAGGACAGGAGATAATAAAAATCGGTTCTCACTACTCAAAGTATATTGAGAGAGAAAAACGCCTTGAATTGGAGAATAGCAAAACTAACCATTAAAATAATTGTTCCTAAAGTAAAATTTAGGCGCTATTTATAAAAATGAACGTTCATGCGCGATCAGCCACTCAGGTGGATGATTTTCTTCAAAATGAAATGGGACCACTATGGAGGTACCCTCTTTCCAACAAAAAAGGAATCATGAAAATCGGTTCACAAATACCGGAGTTATTGCGTAACATATATGCAAAAAAAACATACAGTCGAATTGAGAACCTCTTCCTTTTTTTGAAGTCGGTTAATAAGTTCTAGCCAGAAGAGCGATAACAAAAATGCCTGCAAATATTGCTTTTAATTTTAATTTAAAACATATTTTTCACTTTTTCTATTATACATCTTCTCTTTAGTCTTCTATTATTCCCTCACACTGTTTGAGAAAATCACTATATAAGCCTCGGCGGGAACGGGGATCGCTTGACTCGTATTAATACACGACCTCGCTAGCGCTCGGCCTTGTAGCTAATAGTAACATACATACAAAAAAAAACAAACAGTCGAATTAAGAACCTCCTCCTTTTTTGAAGTCGGTTAAAAAATGACTTATAAAATATTCAAATAATAAACATATTTTTACATAAATGTAACTTTTTCATTGAAAAAAAACCGGCCTCAAAAGCTTGTTTGTCGGCTTTTTTGATTTCCATGGGATCCCCTCATCTGATTCTGACTTCTTGGTGACAATGGGGCTGTTACGGACTCCTTTGTACATTTTATACTTTTTTTCTGGTTGTCATGGTGACGGTGATTGGTTGATAACATGTATTGAGTCAAGTGAAAAATCGACTTTATTCGCGGAAAATAATTAGTAAAATGTGTTAGCCGAAATGAACCCGGAACAGTTACGTCGATATCAGGGACCACCTCCTTCGAGAGCATATCCTTTCAAAGAAAAAAGAATTTTCAAAATCAGTCCACAACTGATGGAGAAATCGGTGAGTACACTGCCATGACTATAAAATTTGAGGATTTTCCGCGATTTCCATGGGATTACCTCGTCAGATTTTGACTTGGTAACAATGGGACCACCACGAGAGTCATCCTTTCAAACAAAAAATGAATTTTCAAAATCGGTCCACAGTTTGACGGAGAAATCGGAAAACATATATACTTTTTTTTCATAACATAGCCCCGCATAAGGGAAACCCTGTGTCACGGGTGCCATGGACACACTCATAGACAACCACCAATTACACTCAAACTCACGAGATAAATAAATGTAGGCCATACAAATATTTCTCCCGGCCCGGGAATCGAGCCTGAGACCTCTGCGTGTCAGTCCGGCATTACAACCGTTCGGCTACGGAGGCAATAATACAGCCGATCGTTTAACCCCCTCCTTTTTTTTTTGAAATCGATTAAAAAATATTCTTCGTGTAGGTCCTGGTTTCTACTGTTAATGGTATTACACTCGTTGAAAATTCTAGTGAAAAGGGATTGAAGGCCTAGATTGGTTTATCAAAAAGCTCATGATAAGTTTCAAATTAAAATATTCTGAAAAACTCGGAGGTGAGAGCCCGGACTCGAACCCACATCTGTCTTACTTGAGAGGCGGTATTTGAAACCATTAGACTACCACGGCTGTTGTGTATAACAATTTTGCATATCTTGTGTGTTTTAAGTTGTAGACCAAAGTAGAACAGACGAGAAACTTAGTTGTAACTTGAGCCACCGCTTGCGACAGAGTGCCGCAATCAATAGATGGCTGCATCTTTTGTATGAGTTTAGTATAATCTAACTAGCTTTAAGTATGAAATTGTTTAGGTTTATTTACGCTAAAGCTATTGGTTGGCTTATAGAATAATAGTCTTTAGAAATAATATAATGGCGAAGCCAGTTATCACTTTAAACGTAATGTAGCTGGATTCGGTGCATTGTTTACGAAATATGTTGTACGAAACGATAAACCTTAGCTAATGACGTGTTGCTTTCTAATTATTAGATTAACTCTAATTATTTTCGGATTAACTAGTTCGATCATTGTTTCTTTGTTTGTAAATGTCACGTCAGTTTGCCATCTCAAAGTGGGTAAGGTCGCAGAGGCGATGGCGCTTCTGTAGTTTGAATCTGTTATCTGATATCAGCGAAAAACAAACATTTAACGAAATATTAATACAAATTTGGGACTACCGTTCTGAAAAAGATT